AACATTGCTGCAACCTGTTCTGAACAACCGTGAACAAGTTGTTGACAACGTGCGACAACATGATGATTTTTACGCGTGTACGGCATGCATGCGTCTTCCGGTGTGCGGAAGTACTCATACTCATGGATACTGCATGTAAGATACAGCCAAACGAATCCCTGTGGAGTCCCCTACTTTTAAGTAAAACCTCTATGGTAAAACCTTAAAAGGTGGCTTTTTGACTAAAAAATGACTGGAGGGCCCCTTTAATTTGAAATGTGTTTCTCTACGAATTTGTAAAAACGTGATTAATTTAACTGGAAACAAGCTTGCCATATTACGAATTATCTGCCATACAGTATCCAAATTAATTAATGAAGTTATTGACATGATTTATAGATAATGGTTGGTAATCCTTACGACATTATTAAAGTGACTGCCTTAAACGAAGTCGAATTGCAAAAAGCAAGAAGACTCTTGGATGAATCGCTTATCCAAGACGCTGTGCCTATACCAAATGGTGCTGATATCTCCTTTGAAAGTTCTCACTTTCAAAATTTTAAAAAGGAGCAAGAGAAAAATAAACCTCTAATGATTTCCTTTCGACAACTTGATGATAAAGAAACGGGAAGTATTCAATTGGTTGGCGTTAAAGATGTTGTCGTAGAAGCAAAGAAGGCGACTAAAAATTGTATTGAATTTCAGCGTGAAAGAGACTATGAGCTATCTTGGGAACATTCGAAAGATAAATTCGAATTTTTGCAAACGTATTCTTCAGAATTCGTTAAGCCTATAGAAGATCGTTGCCAAGTACGCATAGAATTAGAACATGGACCGGAAACATGTAAGATTCGTTGGAAAGGACTCCCAGAGACGTCAACGGAATGCAAAAGATCTTTAGAAGATTTAGGAAAAACTATTTTAGAAAAAGACGAATTAATTGAATTACCCGGAGTGAAACATCTCTTTGAACGAAAAGATGGTGAAAAACAGTTAAAATTAATCCAGGAAGCCAAAAAGATTTTTATCCGCATAAATGGATCCAGACAGACAACTTTTTCAGACTCTGATGCACAACGTAGTCTACAAGAACAGCGTTCCAAAGAAGGTCCGAATCCCGTGAAAGCTGTCATGATTCCAGAAAGGAGTTCAGGAAACGTTATAACTATTTCTCTAAAACATGGACGTATTGAGGATGAATGCGTAAGTTTAACTTTTAATGAAATACTAACCTTCAATTGGCCAAATTTATTAATAGTCTATTATACTTAATCATTATTTATTAATTCTTCTGATAGTAGTGGTATTAAACCAGAGCTACTCTGAGTCTCCGAGATGCATGATGTAGCGTGCATTACATGACATGACATGACATGACATGACAGCTGTACTATAATATAAGATGAAATGCCCAAATAAGGCGAAAATGGAGACTTGTATGTTTCTGCATTCTACGCCTTGATCGTCAATGTGGCTTGGTATACGTCTAGATACGCGAGACGTTCCTATTTATATCACATAAGCTTGCTACACGACGATATCAACGCATCGAAATATGCACAGAGTGTAATGGGGCCAGAGAGCCCAAACGACCACAAGGGAAGTGAGCTCTGTATTATTACACTGGCCGTACTTATTTTAGAAGTACTGTTTAATAAACGAGTAGGAGTGTTTTATCACTTATAAAACACGACGCGTAGCGGAGTGTTTAATATGTGATAAAACACGAACTACGAGTTTTTTATTAAACAGCTTCAAAAACGTGTCAGTTCGATCACGGCATTGGCGAAATAATTTTCCAAAATAACTTTGTATTAGCTGAGAAAATACAAGTTGAAATTTGAAGCGTGTTTTATCACATATAAGAACACGCCACGCTTATGATTTCTCTTTGTGTTTTCCTCATGAATTATTAATGAGTTTTTGAAGACGTCTTAAACGTCTGGACGAATTATAAACGTCTTTGGTTATTATATAGTGCGATTAATATAAATACGAGATGAACAGTTGGAAACTAGGATAGAATGAACCAAGAAAATATAAAATTATTTAATTTGACAACCATCTTTAGTGTTTCCTAGCTATTAAAGTGCGCCCAAGTTTTGTCGTCTCGTATTTATACTAGACGAATTAAACGTCTAAGACGATTAAGTCAGACGTCTATTTAAGTGCGTGGTTTGCGTGGCATGCGATAGTTTGTCGACCCGAGCGGACGTGTGTTTTGTGCTCCGTATAAAATTTTATGTGCATTATAGTTATAACCATTAATGGCGACTGAAAGCGCTGCAATTCAATCCGCTCTTTCGATCTCAACGAAGGGTAATTTTAAGTGGCATGGTAAATTTGAGGATCTTCAAGAATTTATCAACGAGCAACTACAAACCCAGACAAAGTGGTCGTCGCCAGGAGGCAACTCAAAGCTTTTCGAGAACGAAGCGGTCAAAATTAGATGGTATGCGAATACGTCCTCGCTTACTATTAAAGGAATTGATTGTGAACAGCTGAAGGACAAATTGCGAGCAATTGCTAGGACAGAGTCTGATGAAGATAATGCTATATCGTTGATCGACAAAAACAACCTCGACATTGGCATACATAATGAAGTCGAAAGGTCAATCATTATTGAAGGCGAAGACTTCTCAGCTCGTACACTCAATTCAAGCTCTCAAGTAATTGACTTATCAACGCAACCAAATCAAAGTTTAATCTGCAGTGAACTTATAGAGAAAATAAAGGATTTGAAACTGGACTTTAACATCAAAATCAGTGCGTTAACGCAAGAAGTATCTAGTATACAAAACAAACGGAAGGCGTATGCTAACGAGTCGCTCCTCCACGAAAATCGAGAATTAAAGGATGAAAACAAATCCCTGCTGCAAAAGGTCGCTAACTTGTCCTTCATAGTATCCGATTTAAACACCAAACTTAAAGAATCTGAAAATGAAAAACAGTCTTTAGTCACAGTCCTTAAGTTGGTGAATCTAGACCAAAGTACCCACGATCAAAATTCTCATGGGACCTGGAAAACGCAGTGCAGAAGCATGAATAAAGATCAGCATTTGTCTACTCGTAGTCAAGATAGTGAAGTTGTTACGAGAAACGCGTTTGATGTCCTGAGTGATACGGGCGGCAATGAAACCAACATTTATGATTATGACGACGATAGAAGCAAAGTCGATGACCCCAGCTCTATAGCTACTTCGCAACGAGAATCCCAACGATCGATCGCAGACAATGAGTCCTCAAATAGCAGACCTGCCAACAAGTCAACTAAGCATAAACAAAAGCGGCATGCTAATGGATCAAGTAATCAGCACAATGCAAAAGATGGCAAAAAGAAATTAGTCTTTATTGCCGGGGACTCTATTCAGAATGTGCATGGCTGGGAGATGTCTAATACCGACAGAACTGTTGCCGTAAAATCTTTCTCAGGAAGCAAAGTCAATGATATGCAAGACTATTTGAAACCATTGCTTCGTCGCAACCCACATCAAATAATTCTCCACGTTGGTACAAACGACATTAAGTCAGAGAAATCTCCCGATCAGTTGGTAGAAGGTATTGTGAAATTAGTTAGTCAAGTGCGAGAAAAATCTGCACATATCAAAGTAGCCATCTCGGCTCTTACCATCAGAAAAGATGGTCATCTAATTCAAACAAAAGTTAATCAAACAAACAATCTACTTAATTCATTCTGCTCAGATAATAATGTTGACTTTATTAACCATACTAACATAGATTTAGATTGTTTAAATCGTGGAGGTTTGCACTTGAACCGCAAAGGTAGCACGATAATGCAAAGAAACTATATGGATTTTTTAAATTGACGCGACATCCGTCAGACTAACTCGGAGGAAATGTTGTATTCGAATAGGTTACCATATCTTAGGGGTTTCAAGATGGCATTACTGAATATTGTCAGTTTGTCGAAACACATTGATGAAATTCGCTTATTGTTAGAAAATCAGACTGTTGATATTCTTGCACTCAATGAAACAAGACTTCACCCTGATATTCCAAGTGAATTTGTTAATATTGACGGATATGATATAGTTCGCATGGATAGGGACAAACACGGTGGCGGTGTCTGTTTTTACATTAGGCGGACGATATCATATTTAAATCGTGGTGATTTAGTGCCGGAAAATTTAGAGTCAGTATGTCTGGAAATTAACCGGCCCAACTCTCGTTCCTTTATCGTTTCTACTATTTATCGTCCGCCGTCAGCAACCGTCGAATCTTTCTCACAAATTGAATCTTTGCTTAAGAATGTCGATAACGAGAACAAGGAAATTTACTTATTAGGAGATCTAAACTGTAATCTGTTAGACCAGTCCAACTCTTCTGCTAAACACTTACATTCTATCATGCAACTTTATCAACTTACACAAGTAATCGATAAGCCTACAAGGATTACGGAATCGTCTTCTACGTTACTAGACGTTTGTATTACCTCCTGTCCTGAGCGAATTGCATTTCATGATGTAATTCATATGGGAGTGAGTGATCATAGTTTAATTTATGTAGTAAGGAAAATTAATTCATATCTTAAACCTCACGCTAGCAAAAAAGTCGAATTTCGAAGCTTCAAGCATTTCAATGTTGAGAATTTCAAAGTCGACCTTATAAACTTACCATGGTATTTAGTTGACAGAGAAACTGATATTGATAATAAATGGGAATGTTGGAAAAATCTTTTTATAACTGTTCTTGATAAACATGCCCCGGTTAGGGAAAGACGGGTACGAAATAAAACATCTGTGGCATGGATTTCTAGGAATATCAGAAACAAAATGTTTGAAAGGGACCGTTTGAAAAGAAAAGCAATTTTGTCGGATTTAAGTGAAGATTGGAGCCAGTATAAACATTATAGGAATAATGTCAACATTGCAATGCGTGAAGCTAAGAAAGTTTACTACAAAAGCAAATTTGACAAACACCAAAACAATCCAAAACAGGCTTGGAGGACGATTAATGATATCCTTGGGAGAAAAAAGAAGGACACAATGATTAACGAATTAAAGCTAGGAAATGATACAATTACTTCTCCTGTGAGAATGGCTAATTGTCTTAATGACTATTTTACAAGTATTGGTGGTAAAATTGGAGACTCCTGCTCTGAACACACTCAGAATTTTGGCAGGCATATGAGTGATAATCTAAATACTAGTTTGGAATTTACTTTGCATCCTGTTAACGAATCACAGGTTTTTAGGCTACTTAACAATTTGTCTATTTCTAAATCTACTGGATGTGACAAAATACCGGCTAAAATTCTAAAAAAATCTGCTTCTGTAATTACACCATCTTTGACCAATTTGTTTAACTCTGCTATTGGGATGGGAATTTTCCCCTCTGAATGGAAAAGTGCTAGAGTTATACCGCTTCATAAGAAGGGTTCACGCTCCGTTTTAGACAATTATAGGCCAATATCAATTTTGCCGGTCATCAGCAAAATATTTGAAAAGATCTTGTATGAGCAGTTATACGAATATTTTACTACCAATAATTTATTGTCTGAACAGCAGTTTGGGTTCAGGCGCTTTCATTCCACGTCCACTGCTTTGCTTGATTGTACTGATGAGTGGTATGTTAATATGGATCGTGGTTTGTATAATCTTGCCGTTTTTCTCGATTTAAAAAAAGCATTTGACACGGTAAACCACGACATTTTACTGGCTAAACTAGAGTTATATGGTATTAAGAACACGCCTCTTATGCTTCTCAAATCGTACTTATCAGATCGATCTCAGAAATGTCAAGTAAATGGGGAACTTTCCACACTAAAATATCTAAAATATGGCGTTCCTCAGGGTTCAATTTTGGGTCCACTTCTGTTTTTAATTTATATCAATGATTTGCCGAATTGTTTACAACACTCTACAGCACGCATGTTCGCCGACGATACTAACATTACAGTGTCCGGTAAATCAGTTAAGGAAGCGGAGGTGGCCGTTAATGTCGATCTCAATAATATCAGAGAATGGCTTCTATCGAACAGGCTCTCTCTTAACCTTGTCAAAACGGAATATCTTTTGATTGGATCACGCCACAATATTAACACGTTAGAAGAACAACCGCGTGTTTTTATTGGAGATGAACCAATTAAAGGGGTTCAAGTTACAAAAACTCTTGGAGTCAAAATTGATCAATTTTTAACTTGGGACAGTCATATTGAACAAATTTCTAAAAAAATATCTTCTGGAATAAGTGCCATGAAAAAGATAAAGGATTTCACTAATTCTGATACTTTGAAGTCGGTCTATTATGGTCTTGTCCAACCCCATTTCGACTACTGTTGTGAAGTTTGGAATTCCATTAGTAGAGGCCAGTCTGAACGACTACAAAAACTTCACAACAGATGTGCTAGAATTATAATGAACTTTAAAGATGAGCCTGGGCAATCTCAACTGGCCCTCGATCAATTAGGGTGGATAAGCTTGGAAGAAAGGCGAAAACATAATATGGCCCGTCTCATGTTTAAGGTTGTCAATAATCTGGCACCATCGAGGTTCTCATCAATGTTCCAGAATTCTAACCATATCCACAGTTATAATTTACGAGGTTCAAATTCGTCTCTCTTTCTGCCACGACCAAATACTGAGTATGGCAGAAAATGTTTTCGATATAGTGGGGTTAAAATCTGGAATAGCATTCCTGAACAAGTAAGAAACAGCGAATCTTTAAATTCTTTCAATAGAAATATTTCCTCTGTTAGTCTGACGAATTAGCTATTTGAGTTTTGTATACCATTTGTTTTGTAATATGTATTTGTATTCGTAGTTCTTAATTTTCTTAGTGATTTTGTATTTTATATATTTTTGTAACATTTATCTACGCCCCACTTGGAAAGCAGCTATGGTTGAAGTGGCCAGCGTAGTCAAATAAAGTTTTATCCTATCCTATCCTATCCTAGACGACGTTAATTTTTTATTCGTCTGTCTATTTTCCCGTATTTATATTGCACGACTTTAACGTCTCAGATGGTAAATAAGTCGTCTCAGACGTTAAAGCCGTCTTCTTATACAAATACGGCCATTAATGCATTTATTACAATGGACCTTTCCCCTTATATCTAAAATTTTGATCTTGACAAGTAATCTAGATAAAAAATTTAGTTATAAGGGGAAAGGTCCGTTAATACATAAATTGACAGATCATAATTATTAATAACCCTTAGGCCTGTTTCAAACGTCATGCTTCCCATGTGCTGAACGCATTAGAAACAATAGATAATGAGGCATTTCAGCTGATTATCTATTGTTTTAAATGCGTTAGGCACATGAGAAGCGCGACGTAATTTGAAACAGGCCTAATTATTACTGAATTTAGCAAGCCTGCCTTGTTATCCGAGATTTCTCTGGCTGACCGAGGTAGAGCCAAAATAACAAGTTCGTATTTAGCTCTATATTTTTGTTAATATTTATAGGCTGCGGTCTTGGCTTACTCTGCTCTGCCAAATCTCAATGACAACACTGCCGTTTGTGGTGAAGGTCTAAAACTTGCAGGAGGAACGACGTACATCAATGCCTGTAAGAGTCACACTAATATATCCCCTGGAGACATTGTTTGCACAGTTGGTGGTAATCTTGCCTGTCAATATGTTCTTCATGTTGTTGGCTGTGATTGGAAAGATAACAGGGAAAACAATGAAATGGTATGTTTAAATTTTTTTGGAGCTACTTACTGTAGCATAAATATTAGAGGTATTTTTAATACTGCCCATTGTTTTTTAATGTCCAGTTCTACCAAAACTATGCAGTTCTAAACTCATTTGTGCAGTTCTTAAAAAACTAAGTTGGCGAATATAGAAAATATAACCTTAAGCTGCCTCCCAACAGTTGTTTCAGCATAGGACTGGTAACGAAATTTTATCACATCAGCAAAAATTTTATTTGACTACGAAAGATTTGAAATGCAATATAATTTTTCCTTCGGTCAATATTTCTGAAATTTTGTATTTTAATGTACTATTTACTTTTAATTGAATATTCGCAATTTTTTAAAAAATTCTATAAAACAGTTTTGTGGAACAAATTTCGCGTAATATCTGAAAAATTGAATTTAAAATAAAATTCAAAAATTCTGGCGGAGAACACTATCCCGATAACCTATATATCTCACAAATCACTTACGTACTGGGGCGATGGAATGGAGGGTCGATTTTTGTCTACACTGGCAGCTAACATTCAAGATCATACTCCTAGTTAATTTGTCCTTAGTGTTACAATGACAGTATTTTTTCTGATATAAAGAGAAGAACGTAAAACAATCTTTTATAAAACTTCGCGCGTTACAAGAAGATATTTCTGGAAAGGAGAAAAATTGAAAGGTATCCATCATCTCGTTCCTAAAAAATCTTGGTCGTTTTGAAAATCGCAGTGTTTTCCAACCATCGAAATGTGCGACTTCCTGGAAATTTCTTCTTTTAACGCCAAAAAGAGTGAAACGACTACTATATTTGCATGTCGGGTCAAAATGTCTATAAAGTCGGGCCAAAGAGTCTGAGCCGGACCAAAAACATATTTATGCCCGCAAACATCAATTCTAGATCTGTTGATATAATTGAGGATTTTTGTGTACTATTGTGTACTGTTTTTGTGTCAATTAAATTAGCGTTAATTTCCTGTATTTCGATAGATAAATACGTAGAATTATTATCAATGCCTTTCTTAGGTTTTCAGAAAACTCATGAACAAATGCATCCAGAAATGCATCGATCTTCACGTGGACTCACTAGCCATGTCATCTTTCGGGGCACATCAACATGGCTACACGGCGGAAGATGTTTATGAAATAGTAATGGAGGAGGTCGAAAGAGTATATAACAATGTAAGCAATCCAGTCCAATGCTCGCTTGAGCATGTTCAAGTAGTTTATCTCAAACGAAAGCGTTTAAGTCGGTGGCATAGCATGTCCTTTCGTGCGCGTAGCAGATCATCCTTTCGTGCACGTAGCAGATCATCCTTTCGTGTGCCTGGCAGATCATCCTTTTGTGCGAGCAAATCATCCTTTCGTGCACAGCCAGACGTCGCACGGCCGCAGGCAGCAGCAGTAACACCAACAAAAAGAAAAATCTCTTGTACTAGCAAGTTCGGATCCGTTAGTGTGGTTCTCAAGGAAGGAGAAGTAACAACATATGAGGCTGATGCCATAATTAATATTTTACCAAATCATCTTCAACGTTCCAGCTGTAATAATGTGTGCGAAACCATTATTCAAGCGGGTGGTAAAAGCGTGCAAGATGAACTGAGCCGATATACCAGAAGCAAACATCTTCGTTCCATATTGAGAACTTCTGCTGGTTCAATTGAGAATGTGAAAGAAATTTTCAATATAATTCCCGAATTACCTGACGAACCAGGTCTGCGATCGTCTTTAGAGCAATGCTTCGATTTCGTTAAAGCCCTCTCTTTCGGTAATGTCCTATTTCCAGTCGCAGAAATCATGGCATTAGACATATCTCTGAACTGTTTAGTACAACTCATTCTTGATACTGCTAAGAATTTTAGCATTGATAGTTTAGTCACTTTGGAGATTGTTGTTCTTGTTGCACAAAGAAGTGAATTTGATGTTTTAAAGTCGCTTTTTGAAGAACGAAGTGTAGCAATACGATCGACAAGTCTGATCAATGCTGATCATGTTCCGGACATTAATGATCTCCGTGATGTTGACGATGTATCCATTGTAACCTCTCATGTCAACGAAGACGAAGTCTTTCTCAGCCAGGAAGTGCAAGCCGCCTCAGCTGGATCACCGAATGACGGCCCGGATGGTAGGCCTATTAGTAACCATCGCGAAAAATCCCAGATCAACCTACCTGGAAATGAGAGAGATAAGGATAAAATCCTGCTGCGTTTTGTTGGGTTTTGTTCAGCTGTCAATAATTCAGTATCAGAAGTAATGGACTTCGTTGAACGTAACAAAGCGAAACAAAATATTGAAGTTTCGAAAGAGAGTTTCAAGTTTCTTCAAAAGCATAGGAAGGACTTAGCCTCTATATACCATGTTGTGATAGATTTGCGACCCCACGAATTAACAGTTGAAGGATTTAAAGATAACGTGTTCGAATGCCATAAGAGAATAACGGATCTATTGAATAAGAATACAAAGAGTCAAGACGAAATAAAACAACTTGAAGAATCTAATAAGGAGAATAAATTAGACGACGACAAAGATCGCAACGATGTCGACAGCAGTGATATTATAACGAATATTTCTAAAGATCGTGTCTATTCAGGTGAGAAATTTGAGATAGAACAGACGCTTAACAGGAATACTTAGCAGTTTTCTAATGTATATATATATATATATATATATATATATATATATATATATATATATATATATATATATATATATATATATATATATATATATATATATGTATAGCTTAAGATTTTGGTTTACGAAACACAAACAGTGCTCAATACCATATAGATAGAGCGTAATATAGTTTTTCGTTTTACCTCAAAAAACCACAACAGTCTGTTTCATCTGATGATTCCTATACGAATGAAACAGACTGTTGTGGTTTTTTGAGGTAAAACGAAAAACTATATATATATATATATATATATTATTTATTTAATCTTAAAAATTGTACATGAATGATTAAATGATTGTACTTTTATAATCAAATAAATATTGCTCTATTGAGCACTCTTCAATCTACTACAACAACAAAACTTTGGTTATATATATATATATATATATATATATATATATATATATATATATATATATATATATATATATATATATATATATATATATATATATATATATTTAAACTATAAACGTAAGAGTACGAATCAACAACTTAACCAATACGAGAAAACGTATTTCCTTGACGTTGAAACTGGGTGCAATATTGGACAGTGACATATGTCCCTTACTCAGATTTTCCACCTTAGTCAACCAGCCTAATATTTTGCAATTTATTTTGTTAAAGAATGCTAACAGTTAGACGATTTTTCTGAGTGCACTGAGTATAGCCCATGTAGGTTAATTCTATCAATACACACAATTGTATAGATTGGAACATTATAAAATATTGTAGTACCTTGTGTTATGGTTAAACATTATCTGTATTAAAATAAGATATGAACACACCAATGAATGATATAAAAGTATTTTCATGACCAAATGTCCATACTTCATTCTTCATATTAATTAACCATTTTAATTTGTTCCCTATTTTATGTTTTGTAGAATCGCCCGCTTCTTCTTGGTCATGGGAAGAGAAGTCTAAAACTCACCGAGATAAGTTTCAGAAGTTTCTTGATTACGGCCAAGAATACCCTAAAGAAATCAAGGAGGTTAACGGAGTTCGCTTTTGTCCATCAGAGGAATTTTGTATTGGTCGTGGCAGCGATGGCACTAGGGTCTATATCGGCCTTGGAAAGGATGGATACGAGAAGGCCATAAAGCGTATGCACAAAGACCAGTATAAATCCTTAGCTAAGCATGAAAAAAAGATTTTAAATGAACCAAGCACAGCGACATCGAAACACACCATTAAATACTGTTCTTATGATGATGAAAGTGATAAGGAGTTTGTGCATTTAATATTGGATTTATGCGAGGAAACGTTGGAAGAATACGTGGAACGAAACAGCCGGGAAGAGTTGTTGGCAATCGCCCCCGATATAATTTGCCAAATTTTAGAGGGAGTAAGTGACATACACGAAAAGCCAACGACAATTCTACACAGGGATTTAAAACCAACCAACATAATGCGAAACGTGCAGGATAGATGGTTGTTGGCAGATTTTGGAATTAGTCGAACTTTGCCGCCCGACAAGGACACACTCGTAAGCAAGCAAAGGGGAAATGACCATTGGAGGGCTGTAGAATCCTATCCGTCGAAAGAATCATCGCATGAGAATTGTGCCCGGTACAAAAAGGAGTCTGATATACAAACGGCTGGTATGGTTGCTTATTTCATTGTAAGCAAAGGTGAATATGCGTTTGGACTCGAGACCGATCGAAATATCAACTTGCGGAATGGAAATCCTGTTGGGCTGGACAACGTCAAAAATCCAGCTTTGAAAGATCTGTTAGGTTGGATGCTAAGTCACAGTCCTAAAGAACGACCGACTGCTAAAGAAGCAAGGAAGCATCCTTATCTGCAATCTACTCGTGAACAGTTTGAATTGTTGTGGACTATGGGCAATCTATACGAGATCAAGTCTGGAGATTCCACATGCAACGTCACACAGCAAATAAATAGTGATACAAAAGATTGGATATCGTTTATGGATGACGCTGCATTTCAGTATCTATGTATTGATCCAAAGAAACCAACACCAA